CTGTCTGTACACAAATGACAACTGAGATGTTAAAGTGTCTGAGCTTTAAGAATTCGACACATATCTTGTTCTCTATTCTTAAGCAAAGGATGAGAAGCAAAGTCATCTAAGATAAGAAGACACCTATGAGGGTATGTCTTCCAATCGTAAGATTGCAATTTCTCTTCGAAATGTATTCTATCTCTTTCTGTTTGTTTCTGAAGTGTTTCTTCTCTAATATTCTCTGCATTTCCTTCATTTGGGTCTTTAAACTTAGAATATTATATACTCATTTATAGCATTATACTTCAAAACTCTTCTTTGGTACTTCTTTATCCAATCTAACAACTCAGAGTCTTTTATACATACTAACTTAGACTTCTTTATAATATCTTTGAACGAATTGACGGTTTGGTCAAATTGACCAGAAGTACTACAAATGACTACTAACTCATAAAATGGGTTCTTCTCATCTAGTTCTTGTTGTTGTGCAGCCATTTTAAGATAAGTGAAAGTCTTACCCGACCCAGGTGGTGCAATTAGACCTGTTATATCATTCTGAGCAAATAAGAACTTGTCATGTATAGGTTTTATCTGAGCATTTTCTAACTTCCCTCTTGTTCTTGTTTAAAACATTCTCAAAATTTTTTGTCATGTCAGCAAACTTTTTTCTAACATATTTTTAGAAAAATTAAAATTTTTATCTTTTAGAAAATGTCTAGCGATTTCGCTATCTATATTCGAGACAAGCTTTTCGACAGCAAAAACATCTGTCGACCATAAAATCTTACATAGTGTAAACAAGAAAGGTGAATTTGTTCTAAAGTTCTGTTTCTGGGAATAATGACAAGAACCATAAAACATTAAGCAGAGAAGTCTTAAAATTTGTCAATGACAGACTTGTTGACAGAGATGACACCGATTGGAAAGATGAAGTCCAACAAAGTTCTTAGAATGCAAAGAAGACACATGCGCTGTTCTTGAAGATGAAATAGAAAACAGAATAGATGAGCTATTAAAGGACAAAGAACTTTTACATAAATATAGTTGCGCCAAATTTGACATAACTCCACCAGAAAAGAAGAAGAAAGAAAAGAAAGAAAAGAAAGTAGAAGAAGAGAAGAAAGAACCTGAACCAGTTCCAGAGAAAAAGAAATTTGACATGTAAAAATAAAATTTTATTTTTAGAACATTTCTGGGTCAATGTCAATGTTCTCTTCCTCTTTAGGAGTAAACACTGGCTTAGACTCTAAAATCTTTTTACCCAATTTACCTTGAACTTCAACTATCTTAGACTCATAATATTCATAGTCGTCTGCTTTCTTTGGTTCATAAGGTATAACAAGTTTGTATGCTTTGCCTTCTTTAAGGTTTGAGAACCTTCTGTCAAAACTTTCTTTGACTGCTAACAAACCTTCTATGTCTAAGTCTTCAAATTTCGCACCATTTTTAGTCACAATAGCAAACTTAACTGGTTCGATGTTCCAAACTTTGCTGAATGAAGACTTTTTCAAAATGGTAGAAGTAAACATTCAAATATGTGAATGGGTCTAGTTCTTCTTTAAGTCCTGACATGTACTTGTTTACTGAGATGAATTTCGTCATCTTTTCTATCGGATAAAAAAATATTTTTTTTTAAATTTACTCATAAAAATTTTTCTTTGTATATACACCATTCTGAACATCTAAAAGACTTTTGACATTTGCCAAGAATGTTCGTTTAGACGCTGTCATATAACCATATTCTTGACAATATTGTTTATACGAATCGTACAATGACCTTTCATCTAATGACACAAAGTCAGTTTCATCTATGAACAGTTCATATACACTCTTGTTTGCTTCTAACAATGTTTGTCTCTCTTCGGTATGTGGAATTTGTCTTGGATTGAACTTTGAAATATCTAATGTCATGAAATATGAGAACAAGTGGTTGTAAAAGTCAGATGTCAAAGTTTCTGCTAAGTCGTCAAAATATTCTGTATCTTGCATATGAGAATCTGACGTTCTGACAACTACATATCTTCTGTCAGAACTTTCTAACTTCATCGGAACAGCATTGTTTGAAACCATAATGAAGTTTGCAACATTTTTCACAAACTCTTTGGTCTTTATACTTTCTTTCAACAACTCCAACTTTGTCTGTTATAAGACTCTTCAAAGCATCTGAGTTCAAAACTTTTGTTGTATCTATACTTTGAAGTTCGTTACATACTATAAGTTTCATATTCTCTATTGAGGAGTTAAACTTGCCACAGATGTTTTCTAAGTTTGTCATATTCGGGTTCGAATAGCCCTCTAACAGTTTGCACAAAATATCTGTAAAGAATGTGTTCTTACCAGTTCCTTGTTTTCCAATTATAATGAGAGCAGTTTCATTTTTAGCACTTGGATGTTGTAAGATGTTTGCAAACCAACATAAGATATACTCATAGACTCTTTCGTTTCCATTGCATATAATTTCTTTGACATGGTCTAACCAAGCTTCTATAATATTTTCTTTCCATTCTACTTGTTCGTATTTATATCCAGTGAAGATAGAATAGAAGTTTGGAGAAGGTGTATAGAACTTTATACCTCGAACTGAAAAATCTTCTAACTTTGACAATAAGATATCCCAAGCATCTAACATCTTCATGCCAACTTGTACAACTTTTATTTTCTTAAGTTTCTGTCTACATTCTTGTTCAGACACTATTGTTGCTCTTGGTTTGTTAAAGACTACATCCCATTCTTTCATGACATAACATTCTGGGGCAGAGTCGACATAAATGACTAAACGTTTCAAATTCTCGACTGCTTTGTTATAGTCTCGAAATGGACACATATTTCTGAATGCTTGGAAGTCATAAAAATCTGAAACATCTATTCTGTACATTTTTATAAAAATAAAAAAAATATTTTTTTTTATTCTTGACTTTGTTGTTGCATTTGTTGCATTTGTTGTTCTTGAGCTATTGTTGTTGAAGTTGTTCTTGTAATACAATACTTTCACCAGTTGCATCTTCCAATTCGAAACTTTCTGCCGTCATTGACAAATACATAGGACATAAAAGTTTTACAGGAACAAGTTTGCGTCAACTAATGTCAACGTTATACTTGCCAAAGTGTTTGAGTTCACTAAGGTTGAAAATTCTGCATTCGAATGAACAATAGGCAAACCAGCAGAGAAAGTATTGTTTATACGCATAAGTATCTTTTGGTCATAATAGTTTCTGTCGACATTCGAATAACACTTTGAACCTAAGTTTGAAACAATATATAAGATTGGTGTGCTTAATGTCAATGGAATAGACATTCCTTGTATGACACCTTTTCCTGTTATAGGAAACTGTTGTAGTAAAAACCAGAAATAAGTTTTGTATTATAGCTCATATCGTTTATAGTAAACTCAGTCGGACATCCAAACATAACGAAACCTGCTCTAGTTGCAGCACATGTTACACCCGTACTTAAAGTATTAAATAAGTCAACAAACCTGTTGGTGGTATATCTGAGTAAGTATCTTCAAAGGAGTATTTTTTACCATTCACAACAATAAAGTCTTCTGGTGTCAAAAGAGCAAAACAGGCTTTAGTCGTCATTGTGTTTAAGGTTAGTTTACAATATCGTCCTTGAGGACTTTGTAAGTTTGTTGTTATAGAATTATATGACTCAGGGTTTTTAGTCGTAATAGTATAAACCATTATGTCTTCTGCCATTTACTTAGCAAATAAACTTTAATGAAATGTTGTGGTCGTCAAATATTTTTATGACGTCTGGGAAACTATACTTTAAGTTCAACGTTTCACCTCCTTCATAACGTATCTTGTCAATGACATTATATGAAACACCACAGCAACCAATGTCGGGTTCTATTTCTTTGATGTTTATATCGTCTGCCTCTGTCAAAAGTTTCAATAGTTCTTTCAAGACTTCATGAGGTGCAATGACATATGAGTTCACTTTTACAGGGTTGTGTTCGACCAAGTTTAACATTATACTTAAAGCTTGACAAATCTTCTCCTGAGTTTGAAGTTTGTCTTTCAGTTGTTGGTAGTCATTTCGAATATCTGCAACAGAACTTAAGTCTCTGCTAACTTCAGGATATGTTGGTTGTTCTTTTACAGGAACAATTGTTATACCATCTTTGTCTTCGTATGGTTTCCCCACTTCAACATCTCTGTCTTTGACATTGACAACAACACTTTGACTGTTTGTTTGAGTTGGTGAATTTAACTTCACATCTGCCACCGCCATTAAACCTTTTGAAACACTCACGCTTCTATTTTTCGGAAATGACATTTTACTTAGAATAAAAAGATGGACGTATTCGAGTATCTCTTCGAATTGAAGCAGAACAAAGTTTACACACACAAACAATACAAATACATTGACAGAATAGTTCTTTATACAAACAATGGTAAATGTTATAGAATAGCAATATTTGCTGAACCAAAATATTTCCATAAAGCAAAGAAAGTTGGTATAACTGAAATGGTGAAAGTTCTTGACGTTGACAAAAATATAACAACAAAACTTACAGATATTTCTAAAGGTAAGTTTATCTTACAATATTATGTCAAAACTGGCGTACTGTCAATATTTGACGGAGAGAAGTCAGTTCAAGAACAACTTACTGACCTGCTGCCAAAATCTGCTCGATGGAAGCTGTCGTTATGCCAATCTGAGGAGCCCCAGCAGGTTTCATCGAACGAATCTTCAAAAGAGCATCTTCCGTGAAAAGTGCTATTGGTTTTGTAAACTTCTTTGCTCTCAGTTCATCTGGACCGTCTCTGTCACCAGTATATTGTATTTGTACAGTACCAACAGTTGAAATACCACCCATAAAGTCTTCTGAGTCAGCAAATGGAATGCCAAGCCAAAAGTTTGAACGGTCTCCATTTGTATATTGAGTTTTTTGACCTCCTGTATGAGTCCATACTTTCACATATGGCATAATAGAACTTTGCATTTCAGGGTTAATGGTTGTTGTGAAGTTGTTGTTAAAGTTCATAGCATCTAATGTCAAGTTGTATGACCTCATATCCTCAACTGTAGAATATTCTTCTCTTGGATAATATTTGCCATCTATGTTTATATGATATTTAATACCAGGGTTGTAGAAACAAGAATAGTCATTTATAGTTCGTCTGAACAGTACAAACATAGTATCTGCATGTTTCATTGCAGTTGTTAAAGCAATATCTGTTCTTGCACCTGGGTCAGCACTTTGGTTTCCAACTTCACCTGCAAAGTCTTTGACAGATATTTGGTGTATAGGGAACATAAGTGGAACTGCAATATATTTGGCAGCTAAAGCATTTGAAATATCTGGGTCCAACATATAGACTGCAAGTCTGCTTTCTATTCTCTTGCATTCAAACTTTTCGCATGTGAACTTAACTGGGTCCCAAGCAGTTCCAGCAGCATTGAAATAATAGTTTACTTCATTGTTGAAGTTTGAGAAACCAAAGTCTAAGTCAACTTTGTCTTTGCAAAAGTCACAGAACTTGGCTCCACCAGTTCCAGCTACAGTAATGCTGAATGGGTCTTGTGTTGGTGCAATGACTAAGTTATTTTTGCTTGGAGTAAGTTCAATAGAAATTTTTCCTGCCCAGTTTGGCAAGTATCTTAAAAACCTGAAGATGAGGAAAGATGACAAAGGAACTCTAAGTTTCAGTTTTACTTTAGTGGCAGCAGTTCCATCTGAACCAGAAAGGTTAACATAAACTCCTGGAACGTTAGGGTCAAGTCTTCTTATTTTCTCAATATTTGCATACTGGTCTGTTTGTTCTCTAGCTTGTGGTTGTACTGAGTTTCTCAAAGCGAACCATTCATAGTTTGCCCATGTTACTGTTTGAACTAAGTCAGAGTTAGAATATATCTTATATCCCATGAAAACTTCTGGAGCATATTGGTATCCGACATAGAAAATTCCATTGCAACCTTTCTTGTCAGACAACTTGGCAGAAGGTTTTATTTCAATGTCTTGTTCCACGTATAAGAATGAGTTGTCAATAGAAATAATATGAAACCTGTCGCAAGCAATATCTACTGTTGTTGAAGAACCTTCTCCAAACTCACCTACGTTTCCATAAGAAACAGCAGTTGTATATTCGTAAGTTCCAGGAACTATTTCTGACCTTCTAATGGCATTGTCGCATTCGTTATACCATTCGAAACATTTCCGTTCATGGCATCCAAAACTGTTGGCGTTATATTCTGAGCGGCGTACATTTCATATGGTAAAAATATAGAATAGTTGGATTTATGTGTCATAATAGAACCCACTCGTACCAAGCTTTACTTTCTTCCTGACTGAGTTTTTAACTCTTCTTTTTCCTTCATTGCCACTACTTTCACTAGATGAAGTTACTTCTTCACTATTTTCACTTTGTTCTACTCTTCTTCTTTGGTGTCGCTTTTGGTAACTTGCCCTCTGCTTCAAGTTGTTGCATCTTTGCCTCATGTTCACCTAGTATTTGTAAATTTCCCATGTCCTTTTTGCCTTTGGGCTCTGGTCGCCCATCTCAGGTAACCTATATCCTAGAAAGATTTTGTCATAGTTTGTATTTGAGTCTTCGCGTATTGTTTGCATGACTCTTTCCTGAGTTTCCGGTTCAAGCTCTTTCAAACAGAGCTTGTCCATATGGAATAAGCTCGTTTCCAAATATATGTTTTTGTAGCCATTCTGGTTTTCTTTCCATGTTACCAATAATATCTTTTGTGAATGGGAAAGCTTTTACCCAATCTTTCAGTCTTGCGTCGTTTATTTCTGTAGTTGGTTTTATTTTGTCAAGGAACATGTTTTTCAATACTAACATTTCATTTGGTACTGTCCATTTGAGTTTTCTTAAATATTCATCCCTTCTCGGTTCATTGTCTGCAAAGTAAGTTTTTATGACATTTTGTAAACTTTCGTTTGCAAGGTCATGTACAATAGGTTCTCTTCCTTCTATCTCCCTAACTTTCTTTCTAAACTCTTCACCAAATATACCATCTTTATGGTTCTGTGTAGTTCTTTGAGATAAATGTTCTAGAACGTCAGGTGTTATATTTCCATCAGCCATGTTCATTTCATACTGGTCCAAAATATCTGCATGTTTCATATCTTTCAATGGCATTAAAGCCGCGCTGAAAATACCAGCTATATCTGGTTCACCATTCACTTCCATTGCGTCTACAACTTCTTGGAATTGTGGTTGTAAGTTTATGAACCACCTATCCGGATTAGCTTTATGACCCCATCTCATTGTAGTTCCATAGTCTGCAGAAACAAAAGTAGGTTTGTTTCCATATTGGCTAGGTTCTGAATGAACTTTAAACAATGTTTCATTTCTATATGTTTTGTTGAAATTTAACCTTTTATTTTCACCGAGTTCAGCCAAAGATTGAACGTTATATGGTCGTAAGTAAAAAGGATTGTTGTATTTGCGTACACTTTCTTTCAGTACTTCCATTCTATGCTGAATATTTTCATCTGATGTTGGAGTCTTTTGTATGTCGGCGAACATTTTTCGATATTCTTCTACTATGTCAGCCGAATTTTTCTTAGACTCTTGGAAAGATTCCATATTCCCCGCATACACTTGTTGAGGGTCAAGATTTTTCGGCTGTTCCAAATCTTCATCTAGTTCTGTGAAGTTAGTTTCCAAAGGAGGGACTTGTTCGTTTCCTTCAGGCTCTTCTAGCTGTTGTTGCTGAACTATTTCTTCCATGTCTGGTTGTATCTGAACTTCTTCCTGTGGAGTTTCTTGTACCTCATCTGCTGGCATTTCATATATCCGAGACCGTTTTTAAAAAGTTCCCTATCTAAGTCATCCGGACTCATAAACCTTTCTTCTTTCGTTCCGTCTCTATTTTTTACGCGTTTCATGAAGAGAGTTGAATTATCATTTAGCTCTGACACCAAATATCTCGGAGTAAATTCATCCATGTCATTTGGATGATATGCTATTAAATCATATCCCTTAGCGAGCTTGTATTTTCCAGGTTTGAAATTATATCCCATTTGGTGCTGAACCATAAAGCTAAATAGTTCGGGTCAGTATTTCCTTCCTTGAACTTTCTAATAGCTTCTTTATATCTGTCACTAAAGTCAAGAGTATCTGGGTAACCATAATTTTCCTTAAGCATTTTTTAAGAATTCTTGGTTTCCTTGTTCTCTACTTCTTTTATGTCCTTGCTCTGTTTGTGGTTGTTGCTGTGCAGTGTTTTGAACTGTTGGTTGTGGTGCAGTGTTTTGAACTGTTGGTTGTGGTGCAGTGTTTTGAACTGTTGGTTGTGGTGCAGTGTTTTGAACTGTTGGTTGTTGTGCTGGATTTTGAACTGTTGGTTGTTGTGTTGGTTTTGGTGCATGCCTGTGTCTGTGTCCATGTGACGATGTAAATGTTTTAGGTAGTCCTGGTGCAGGTGCTTCTCTTGGAGGGTTTGGTGGTATATAAGTTCCACTAGCTAGTATATAAGTTCCACCAGCTGGTATATAAGTTCCACCAGCTGGCACATATGTTCCATCTGCAGCATAATGTCCTACCTGACTTTTCGTTTTTAAGAAAGCATTTACTAGGTCTGTTTTGGTCTGTTGTAACTCTTTTTCTTGACTTTCCACAACAGTTGTTCTAACGGCGTCATAGGCACTTTGAACTGCCTGTCTCGTTGCTGCATCTGTTATTTTCGTCATATTTTGTGCTACTTTCTTAACTCTTTGTCGAAACCTTCAGACTTCAGTTTCTTTCCAGATGAGAAGTCGTTCACTAGTTTCACCTTACTATGAAGAGCTTCGAAGGCGTTCTTAAAGTCAGCATTCATTAAAGCTTCATTTGAACTGTCTTCATCCGCTTGTATTTTTGTCCTTATTGACCTATAAGTTGGGCTGCTTTGGCGTTGGCTTGGGCATCTAACCAGTCATTATTAGCTTTTATATATTCTGCGCTTTTCATTGCCTTTTGCATGGCTGCGTCGTTATTTTTACTTTCTTGTGCTAAGTTTTCATACTGTACGGTTTGGTTTTGCAACTGTAAAAGTTTTTCTGCCTTTACATTTGCTTCAACTTCTTTTTTATACTCATCGCTATCCATATATGTCTTCAGGGCTTTTTGTTTTATCTCTTCATCTTTCAGTACTTTATATTGAGTAGTATGGTTTTTCAAATTTATAACATCTTGTTCCATTTTTGCTACTTCTGCTGCTTTTTCTGACACTTTTTTTCGCATATTCCTCTGTACTTAGTTCTTTCAGTTGTTCTTCTTTCTTCTTTTTCTCTACGTTTAACTCATTGAGTTTCTTTGTGTGTCTGTCATATTCTAGTTTCTTTTCGTTTTCACTTATTTGTTTCTGTATGTCTATGTTTGACTTTTTGACATCTGTTATTTGATTTTTGAGTGAACTCAAATTCATTTGACTTTGAGGGTTATAAGCTGTTCCGTCTGCAGCTCCACCATAGCCTGCCATTTTCGCTAAAAGTGCCGCTCTTAAACCTCCACTCTGTGCACCAATAACTCGGTTTAAAAGCATAGGGTTGCTTGACATTTGTTGCAACATAGTGGGGTCATTCATCATTTGTTGTTGCAACTGTTGTTGTGGTGTCAGTTTTACTATTGGATGTTTCAATGCTCCCTTCCTCTTACGTATATTCTTACGTAGCTTACGTGGCATTTTAAGTGAAGTTAAAAAGCGGTTTTTGACAGATGTTTATATGACACTTTTTGTTCAGAACAAAAAACTACTCGGTCAAAGTGTTGTCAGTTTTGTAAAATAACCGTCCTATCTCATTCTATAAGGGGAAAAGGCTTCTCAAAGTATACTTCCTTGGAACGCCTGTAACTTTTCCTGTAGCGACGATAGACCCTTATTTGTCCGGACAAAGTTATACTAAACATCTTCAGGGCTAGAGGGCACGAAGTGCCTGGAGGCCCCACTACCTTTTTTTTTATAATAAAATCAAAATTCGAAAATATCTATTTTTCAAAACACGCATCCAGAAGCAAAAAAAATAGGAAAAAATCATGTTCTTATAAAACTCGCTGATTTTGCAATTTTTATGTGATTTGAAGTGATAGAATATATTATCATCTTATTAAAACATATACTTCATTGTTACATTCACAAAATATTAATCAGAACACTAGGAAAAGTGGATTTTCGAAAAAAGACGATAACAATTATTTGCAAATCGCCTCTCAATTTTGAGAGACTTTCAATTTTTACAGTGGACCCTTAACATGAAATTTATATTTTTTAATATTATTTTTTAAATTTTGAATTTTTTTGGAATTTTCAACCATGTCAAAAGTCGGGATCTACAAATGTATTCTCTTTGACATAGGATAAAAACATCCTTTCTTATAATTTCATTGTAAAATAAAATTTTCTTAAATTTATTGAATCCAAACTCAACTTTGCAACATTTTATTATCATAAAAACTAAGAAACATCAGGTAAACTTCAATTTGGAGAGCTTAAAATCATATCTAAATTGAATAATAAGGGGGAAAAAATTGTAAAAAAAATCTCATTAGATGGGGCAAAAAGTGACTTTTTTAATGTGTTTTTTAAAAAAATCGTGCCAGCAGGCGTGCCAGTTTGTACAACCCTATGAACGTGCAAGAAAATCTATCAGCCGATTTTGAGGAAAATGCATTAGTAATTTGATTATATTTTTTGCTCAGATTATTATTGCCATTTTTGAATTTTTAAAATTTTATACATATTTAGCTGATTTATTCGAATTATGAATCGACAAAAACTAATTATTTTAAGTTCTAAAATACTATTAATGCTTAATTTTCATATATTACAATAATGAATAAAAATATTATATTAATTATCATGAAGTATGATTGAAATTAAACCATTCAGATTGCAATCCGAAGTTTATAATAATCTCACATATCTTGCATGTTTTAATAATACTTTCTCAAAGAGCGAATAAATGATGAGTTAATACCAATCAATTAGGCTTTCTGAGCAAAAATATCTAAATTACATAAATGTGTGAACTATTTACTAGTATTAAGATAATTTATTCCTAATAATAAAAAAAAAAAATAATAATTTTATAAGACATGCTAAATAGTTAAACATTATTCATACCATGATGCTATAAATCATTATCGTATTATTAATTTTGCTATTTTGAATAAGTCGGCAATTGAATATACGGGTAACTTTTTTTTGGCTGATAGTTTTTAAATAAATCTATTCTAAAGGTGATACTTACAATGAATCTATATGTTTTATAGCTATTACAAGGAAAACCACCTGTACAAAAAAGTTAATAATTTAGGATTTTAACATATACGTTTGAGTAATCTCCCATGCGAGTTTCTTAATGCTATGGCGTTTCCGTAAAGATGAACTAATAATAACATATATGATAATAAATTTGATAAATCTTTTGTATAAAAGCGAAAACATCTATTATGTTATGATCGAAAACATAATATATGAAGTGCTTTTTCGAATGACTTTACTTGTTTCTAAAATAATGTTATGCTTGGTTCTAGACGTGGCCATTAAAAATGACGTTAAGAGAAAAAATTAACCTTATTCTAGTCAGCATACCTCTACCCTCATCCTCTGAATTCTTGCCTTATGACACCATAAAGTATTCAAAATTGAATGTTTTACAATATGACGCCTTAGTGACGCCAACTCTCAAAATTCCCAACATTTTATCAAAGTTCTTATACTCTTCCCATCCAATAATATTTTAAATCAAAATATTATATGATTTAATTAATAAGAACGCTGTGCACGATATATTTTCAGTATTCATCTTTATAAAATCTTAGGTTCAATATTTGAATGTGTACATTGAAATTTCGACGATAGAAAATATCAGTTATCTCCTGGGAAGGGATCTTCCCAGGATCATGCTATGATGAAGACCACATTCATAGCGGCAATGTATTTACAAGATCAAACAACTTAAAATATTTTGTTTCAAGCTGTTTTTTTCTTGAATTAAGTCCAAACGGTGCAATTCAAATTTCAACAACGAGTGATGATGTTAAAACATATACAGAAACAAATAAATTCGAATCGTGTTCCTCTGGATCACACTGGGGAGGTTCTCTCTACTTTTCCAACAAAGGTGAATTTGTTCAGACAAAAAATTCATTCATTAACTCAACAAATTCAGGCGGTGGACCTTCATTTTACATAGATGTTTCATATAAACCAAATTACAAAAATCATGCTAATGAAACTTTAGTTTACAACTGCGGCAGTTCAGAACTAGACTGCGCTTTTACAGCTTTCATGGGTCGTGGCTTTGTAATCATGAATGAATGCAATATTACACAAAATAGAGTCAAAGGAAGTGTTTCAGGTTATTATATATCATCAATTACCTCTGATTCATACATAACTTGTGTCAATGTCATTGAAAACAATCAAAAACAATATAATTTAAATTATCACTCATCCTCTTCATCAATACTTAAAATTACTTCATGTAATTATATAAGAAATAGAAGTCCAACGGAAGGATCTCTGATTTATTCTTCTTCTTCTAATGTTTTCATGAGTTATTGTTTTATTCATGAGAATGAAATTCCTATCATTTTTTATTTATATCAATCTACTTTAACATTCGAAAATTCAACAACAGATAAAAATACATCATATTCATCATATGGATATCCATCGCCAATATTTAAGAACACAGGTATTTCATTTGAAAATGAATGTCCTCTTTTGAATATTTCGACAACAGATTTTGTCGAATCATTAAAATATAAATGTCGTGATTCCACTCCAAATAATGACGAAAACGAAGAAGAAAATGAAAATAATGCTTATGTTCAAAATCATGTTAAATTTTCCTTTTATTCATGAGCAGTAAACGATTTCGAAGTCGAACATAATTTTTTTTATTAGAATTAACTAAAAACTTATCATATCAAATAGGGACATTAAAAATTGTGCGTTTTTTTTTACACCCAAGCTTTATTCTCCAATTTTCTAAGGTAAAAAGTTAATATTTTCGGTTGGGAAAAAGTTAGTAAAAATCGTTATATAGTACCTAATATAGATGTTTATATTTTTTTGTTGTTGCAACAAAGATAAAATGTTTTTATGAGAGCGTGTCAGAAAAAAAAACATCGTTTGAGAGGAAAATTGAGTACTTTCTGACACAAAACCCCACAATGTCAAAAACTTTGAAAGGCCAAAAATTTTTTAGTGTCAGAATGTTTACAAATGTATACTTTCTGACAAACAGAGTCTCAGAAAGAACTCAAACGGCGGTTTTAAATTTCCGCACTTTTTTTGTCGACCTTATTCCAGAACCTTTTGATTTGAACATCAGATCGTTATCGAGAAAGGTTACATAATAATTTTATCTATATTGAGGACAAAAATTTGATGAGTGAAATGGAATTCAATTTATTTGTATATTTTGATAAAAATAAATAATATAATACTTTTATATAAAATAAACAAATAATAAAATAATAAAATATAAAAATTAAATCATCAAATCATGTGGTTGACAAACAATGCATGTGCCACTAGAAATAAGTGTTTTGTCTGGAACATCAGATTGGATAAGTGCTGACCAAACGAAGTTGTTTCCGTTGATGTTGATAGTGTCTTGAGATGGAAATTGCATGTAGCAAGGACAGTTGAATGTGTGGACTGATTTAGCTTCACGAACAAGAGTGCATGTGACAGGTGGAAGAAGACAAATAGGAGATGATTTAGAGTTAGGAGGGATGATCTTTGAGTTCGCTGAATCAAAGTTTGCACCAACTAATGCGAAATTACTGAATGTAATTCCGGGATTGTTGTCTTTATGGTCAATGAACTTAAACTCGTAATTAAGTGAGTTCGTTGTAGAATTTCGTTGAATAGAAATTTCATTACGATATGAATTCAACAAACCTCGGATGTTAGTGATCAATCGACTGTCGATCTGTTTAGGAATGATTCCTGTGTTAAACCATTCACTAAGAAGTTTATTTCGTTCGTTAAGAATTGCTGTCATCTTATGAAGAGAGTCTGTACCATAATAACCAAGTGTTTCTTTCCATTTATGTGGACACTTACCTTGGCAAATAGCTTGTGCTGTTTCAATGTCAAAGTGAAGAGGATTAGTGTCAAGATCGATTTCGCGAATAACATCGTTGTATCGCTCAATTTCGGTGATGACAAACATTGTCAATGGTGATGAAACTGACCTGATATCATTCAATGAGATGATGGATGGAATGTCTTTGCGAAGAATTTCTAATCGCTTCAAATAATCTTTCTCTTCTAAATCGGGATTTCCTTTGTAAAATGAGAAGAATGGTTTAGAACACCACTTTGAGAAGTTAAGCCACAAAAGAGTTTGACCGATGTTGTTGTCGATAAGAAGAGGATCTAATGTGCCGAAATCCGGTAATTTATCGATGTTGTGAATTGGATCACTTGACAAAATCCATTTGTCTTTGTTTGGATTAGATGAATCAACGAAACTAAATGATTCTTCCGGTAAATCGGGACCAAGAACAGTGAACAAGATCTGTTTCAATTTACGATGGTCGTTTTCATCAACACATGAACTGGAAAGGAATGAATCTTTGATGTATTCACGATAGTTTCGAACAAAGATTTCGTCATTTTGTGTTGCATGCATAGCAAGCAATGAACCTTTGATGTCGTCTTCTGTCATGAATAACTTGGATGAAATGCCAATAGGAGATAAAAAGTTCGAGAATTTGATCAATGAATAAGCTAAACATGTTCCGTATGTGATCTTCTTAGAAAGTTTAGTTGGTAATTCGATAGAACTGACGACGTGTTGGTACAATTGATTCATCTGGACTTTGATCAGAGGAAAGTCATCATATGAATAAACAGATGACTGAAGAACGAAATCTCGTGGAATATATGATGAATCAGAACAAATCAAAATGATGTGGAAATTCTTCTGTTCATTGAATTTATCTGATAATGATGAAATGAATGTGCCACAATTTGGTGATGAATTCATGTAATGAATAGCAATTAAACCGCCTTTTTCCATTGCAATATCACAGATCTTCTTGCTTTGTTCAAGACTGTTTTCGTTCAATGAAACACTGAAAAATGACTTTTTACCACGTAATGTAACAAAATTCTCAAGTAAAACGGTGGGATCACTGAAATGTTCGCATTGTAAAATGATGTTTTTGTCTTCGGTGAATGATTCAACTGAGAATGATGGGAACAATGAAGAATAATCGTCACCAAAGACATCACAAATAAACTTGTCAATGAATCGAAATATGTTTGTGATGTTAGAGAACTTTAATTGGTCAATTGGATCTCCTTTCTGTGTTTCAAATTTACGAAGATCAACTTTGTTAAAGTTTTCGTCAACAATGTGGTCAATGATAATATCTAAGTCTTTCATTTGAACTTTGTGTTCTTTCTCGGAGATCAAATAACCACTGATGAACATGTAAAAGAAGGAATCTGAAACGGTCATTGTTGGCAAATATGTCTTGAAAATGAAACGGATCAATGATGTTTTCAATGTTTGTAATTGTGGTTGTGTAAGAATGCCTGATGTGAAGCCTGATGATTGCAAACCAAGTTCGATAGATTTAAGGAATGTTTGCAATGAATAAAAGTGTGTTTTACAAACACGTGGCATGTATCGTGATAATGCGGTCCACAAACTAGAAAGAACTTTAATGTGTGTTCGAAATGATTCTGTTGTCATGTCAACTTCATTATTAATTGCTGATGTGTCACTTGTGAAGTTTGTTGCTGCGAAATAACATTCTTTGGAGCGCATTAAGTCCGATGAAACTTTTCCATCGGAAAGGAAATCGAAGTCTTCTTCTTTCATAGTTCGTTCAACAATTTCATCAATAGCATGTAATGTTTCTTCTTCGAACTTCTTGACTTCCGATTTGTTTTGAAGTTCGGCATGTGTCATTGATAACATTCTTGGAACTAATTCTGTATCGAAATAATTAACTAATCGCCATCCAAACATCGTTTCTGAGCTTTTGAGTGTAGAATCACTGACATCAACAACTGTTGTGTGACAGAATAAATCTGTTGGAATTTGTTTAACTTCTGTGATTTCACTTGTAAAAAGAATTGCTTTGAAATTTGGTGACAATTTAGATAATTCACCATTCAATGAAATCTGGATCATGTCTTTCCTTCGAGTTAAATATGGTAAAACGGATCTGAGTTCTGGAGATATTCGATTAACATCTCTGATAATCAATGTAAAGCCTTTATGCATACTTTCATTCAATATTTCACAAAAACTTTCACTTAACATTGAAACAATTCGGTATTTTTGTTTTGGAAGAGCTTCCTTAAGCAGATTGAACATCATGTCATCTGGATCGATGATCAGAGGAGGTTTAGGAGTGAGCATGATATGTGATAAGTCATTAGCACTGTCCAATGGTTGGAATTCTTGTTTAGTTAAATGAATGTAATCAACAACATCTTTCAGTTTACTTTCAATCAAACCATGTGGTTCCAAATTGACTTGGATCTTAGAATTACGAATGATTTCTAATACATGAACAAGATTCTCTTCTCGTTCTTCTTGTTTCATGAAGCCGAAGTAAACAATGTAAGCAGAAAAAAGAATTGTGTCGCCAATCAACAACAATCGTTGTGTCGATACTTTTTGACCTTCTTCCATCCATTCGTCATTCATTAAATCTAAGCCTTTAAGCATAGTATCGATAGCTTGTTTCTTGTTCTCTAATGTCGCAAGCTCTTTTTCAAGTTGATCTCGCATTTCAACGGCTGATTGGAATGATTTAGCTTCTTCATCGATTCGTGACATTTCTTCTTCAATTGATTTCTTCTCTGAATGTGATGATTCGATGAATTGTGCTAAATCTTTAGATTTCTCGTTATACTCTGTTTCTTGTTGTTTAACTTTGCTGTTACTCAACGCAAGGTTATAAACTGAAACTGCATATGAAAATAATTTGCCTAAAACGGGTGAAATTTGTGTGACGTTTTGTTCGGAATTCAAACTGACTTCATTAAAGTATTGTTCAGCGTTATTCATTGATTCTTCACTGATATTGTTTGGATCAATAGATATTCTTAAAGTTGTTGGCAGGCTCTCATCATTGATCAGTTTCCTTCTATTAGTTTCGAAATTAGGACTTTGATTGAGAAGAGAACACAACAAATTAATTGTTGAAATCATGACTGGATTATTTTGTCGCGATGTTACTTGTCGGAATTCTTGTAACTCCGATGGTTGGATCTCATTCAACAATTGAAGTTTCTGCGTGTAATCGGATAAATGAACGGTCATCTGTTCTTTGTTTATGATGATCATTTCATTTAATTGTTTACATTCGGCTGTTTTGATTCGTTCCTTTTCATCTAAACTAGACAAAATAGAGCGCTTTTCGTCCATTTTGGATGCGTATTGGCTGTTGTTATCGGCATTACCATTAAGTTGTTCAATTAATGGTGTGATCTCGTTCAATCGATGTTCGGTTTCTTTGCTTTTAGTAGTTAAATCTTTGATGAAATTAATAGCGTTTTCAAGATCTTTAGATCGCTTGTTGATTTCATCAAATGATTGTCGAGACATTGTGACAAATGTAGAAGCAAAATCATTGAATATGTTTTGTGTAACAAATTCAAATTTACTTTGAATTTCTTCATGGATTTGCAACAAAACTTTTCCAATGTTTGTAGGAGCTGTTTCGGAAAGAGGTTTAAATTCATGTTCTTTGATAACATTGTTTGCAACTCGTTGCATGTAATCGGAATTAAGTTTGTAGAAGTCAATGACATAATAATCTGGATATTCTGAAATATCGAAATCTTTGTCAACGGCAATAACAAAATGGATTTTGTTACGGATCATTTCGAATGCATAATTATATGTATCATATTTTGTTGCATGAATGTTTTGTCGATGTGTATTAAAGTGCTGATAAATGTCTTCTAAATGTGAATTATCAAAGATCTCAAACATTGTGTTAATGTTCAATAATTTAAGTTCGTTTTGTGTATATCCTCGAACAAATAAAACAACGGAATGGCCTCCTAATATTGAAAGTAAAACATCATCAATCAATGAGCATAAACCAGATGATTTCAGCAGAGGTGTTTTCGCTTTATCTAAGACAAAGAATGAATATGATTTCTGGAAAGCTGCAAATCTTGTCAAATGATATCTTCCACTTCCTGGTGGAGCAATTAACAAACAATTTCCTGTTGGATATGAAATTGCTCGTTGCAAATGACTCCAAATGATAATTGAGTTCAATCGCAATGTGAAAGGAAGAGGAGGTTGTAAATTCGAACAAACTTCGGTCAACATGTTAGTCAGACCTTTTAATTGGTGTTTGTTAAATAAAACACTCAGTTGATTGTTCTCAGATTGTGAAATTTCCGAATAATACATGTCACCGGAATTGAAGACAATGTCAAAGATCTGACGTTGTTGTTCTAAGAAGAAGATGTCGTTGAATGATTTCTTCAATAATTCCATGACTGTTTCTGGTTGTCTGTAAATAGAAAGGAAATTTAATTCTGCCAAAATTGTTTTGATGCATGTTGTCATGTTTTGCTCTGTTTTAGCATTTCTACAATCAATAATTGATAGTATTTCGATTAGTTTAGAGAAATGGAAGTTTATTTTGTTCTGGTTATACAAAACTTCGAACAAATCACAGAGAGGTTGTAAAATTTTGGCAGAAATTCCAACAGCTTTTCCAATTGTATCATAGATGTATTTGATGGATTTGTATGTTGGAGGAGGAACTAAGATAGGAACAAACCTTGAAAGGAAGCGAACATCAAAGCCTTGGAGAGATGAAGTGATGACGATAACTTGGCAGCTTTTTATGATATTGTAATCAAATTTCTTGAAATCGTTTTGATGGATATCAGGGATTTTTGATGTTTTCGTGATAGCTCTAATGAATTCACATGTTTCCTTGTTATCAGGACAAACATTATCGAATATCAAACAATACTTCTTTCGATCGAATTCCATCACATAATCTTTTGCGATTATTTTTGTGTGGAATTGGATGAAGTTACAAATTGAACTTCGTGTTGAAGTCTTCGTTACAGGGATATAGATAGGAATAATATCAGTGTTAAGGAACATGAACTTCAATAAAGTACTTTTTCCACATAATCTTTCACCATGAATTATTAAATTGTCACTTTTTCTCATAGCGATTCTTGAATGGAATAAAGCAGGCAAAAATTGTGGCGAACAAACAGAAACATCAGAAGCCAATGTATATCCTTGTGATGAATTAATGATTGGCTTACCTTGTAATGGACTATAATCCAACGGTATCAATTTTCCTTTGTATAATCTCATTGATAACAAACTTGGCCTTGAATAAATGTCCCAAAAAGTGTCAGGAACAGAAAAATTGACCCAATCAGGTGGAATTTCTATGATGTAAGTTGATCTTATCCATGTATCAAATAAGTTTATCTGTTCAACATCAATGATATTCTTATATATGATGAAGAAGGAGTGAACCATGACAATCTTCAAGTTGTTGCTATCATGGCAATCGCAATCAGAAGTTTCTAAATAACTCAAACATAATTTGACAACTTCTAATGGTAAGTGATGTGAAATGTAAACGTTTCCGTCTTTGACCATTTTGAGGCTTTCACTGTAATATATACAGTTCTTTGTATGATAGATATAATCAACAACTTGTGGAGCAATTTGGACAAATAAATCTTTCAAATTTGACAAAACTTCTTTTTGTAAATTTGAATTTTTAGAACCTTCATCAAATATTATTTCAGGATACAAAATTGAGCATTGTTTCGCTTGTAATATTTGAGTGTTTTGTTCAACATGGATATCATTGAGATTCAAAATACCTACTCTTCCTATTGCATCTGGTTTCAAGAATGACAAATCATTTGTTTCGACAATAACCTTCATTCCTTCATCGGATTTGTATCTGTCGAAAGAATTCAACATCAATGTACCACCATAATACAAACTTGAAATGAAATCAGAAAATTCAGGTGAAATAGGACCATCAAATTTCACGATTTGCAGTGTCTCTGATTTCTGCAAATTGTACAAGACAGAATGTAGTTCTCCAAACTTCCATTTGTTTTCTTTCGTGCCTGATATCCTCAACCATTTGTCAGATCCGAAATAAATGTCAGTTTTGTTGATTGGCAAACGGGTTGGCACTTTTGATTGAAAGTCAGGATTTTCGTACTCATAGAGTTCTTTGAGTAACGTGATAAGAGATGATTTACCGCTGTAAGGTGATCCATTTATGATTACAACGTTGTAAACCTTGAGAAAACGATGTAAATCAATAACTTTTTCAACTAAATATTCTTTGACTTTTGCAGATAATTTTGTGGTTGAAATGTTTGCGAAATAATACTTGATTGCTAATTCTTCTTGGTATTCTTGGAAGTATTTCTCGGCTGTCAGATTTTGTTTGAAATTGTCAAAACCGTCAAACAACATAAAATGAGAATATAAAAGTTGAATTAAACCGTTCAAATCATCTGTTTTAAGATGATATTTGTAATAAGTGTAACAAGCTCTTGCTATACAGAATTCTTCACATGATCTCGCTGATTCATAATAATGCAAGAAAAGTATAGATTTGGAATGCATTATATGCCTCAAAAATGTTGTTCCTGAATCAATTATACTCGAAATTATGGAAACAATGTATTTGTTTTCGACATAATTGTATAAAGTAGTAACTGTTTCTATAAGCATTACTAACTTCTGTGCGATGTATTTAGTGGACATGAAACCACTGGCTGAAAGCTTTATTTCTGTTAAATCTTTCGTTTGTGGTTTCATCATTGCGACTGGTTTCAAGATTGACAACAATTGAGATGGAAAGATTTTCTCGTTTTTAAGTGGTTCATCGGATCCGACCAAAAAGAAACGACATCCTTTGTTGAAATTCCATTCAACATCGTTCAAAACGATTTTGGTGTTGATTCCTTGCATTTCAGACTGGAAATACCTGAACTTTTCGAACAAATTAGTCAATGTTTGCAAAGAATGATGCTGTACATCATTAAATACAACCCAATGACCTGTAATCGCTGCTCCTATGAAGATTTGACTCAAATCACAATATGTTTGAGCTGTAAATCCTGGAACAGTGAAAACAAACTGTCCGAAAAGAGCTGCAACAGAGCTCAACAGCTGGTGTTTTCCTGTTTGTGGTGCGCCGAATAAATATGGTAAATAACCAGAAATGGAATTTCGAACTAAAGCAGAAACGGCTTTTTGACTTGAAGAAGAATAAATCAATGGTCTGAATGTTCCCCAGAATTCGTAACCGTGTTCAATAGTGAAATCATCCATTTCAGTCATTATCTTCTGTGATTGCACGTCGTATCTCAATTTCAAGTGTTGTCGCCATGCGATTTTTTGAGAAAACTGAGGAATTCGCTCTGAAAATTCTCTTGTCAACGCAATTTGTTGTTGAAGAATTGTGATGATGACAGAGATCTTCGAGAGCTCGCTCTGTGCCAAAGGAGAGTGTGTGTAGTTAGTTAAATCACTCAACCTTTGATTAAGCAATGATTCGTAGTTAGAAAACGCTTTTGCATTGTTTTCTACATTAGCAAAACATTCTTCAATTTCTCTTGTGAATGTTGTATACAAAACTAAAGCAGAAATATAAGAAGTAATTGTCATTGTCCAATCAGTCAATGGCATAGTTGTGTAAGTCTTGTATCCCTCTGTGAAAAAGTATTTCACGGAGTATTTCATCGATTCCATCAAATGGGAAACCCAATCTTCAACTGTCAAAGTGCACATTATTTTTTGTCTCAATGACAAAACTTCTGTGTTTTCACCGATGAAGCCGATGATCTTCAATCTCGTGAAGTTCTGGGTGTTCGTGAACTTCTGTGGTTTGCCATCAGCTGATTCCTGCATCTGTGAATCAAATCCTGTTATGTGCATGAAAATTTTTGACAAATGTGAACAGAATTTTTCAAAATCTGTTGTTGAATACAAAGAAAGGACTTCATTGTCAGATAAGAAGAATAATCTCAGTAATTTCTTCCTTTTATGGTCAATGTATGCAGAAATCGATCCGATGATGTTTTCAAGGCCTTGATTGTTTTCTGTCAAATGTTCCAAAAGTGACGGGAATTTTGCCACGTGCACCAAAGTTGTTCTTTCCAAAGTATGTCTTACAAGCGACATCCATCTTCTTCTTACCATTGCGAATGTTGTTGACTGCTCAGGTAATATGTCGCTTGTTCCATCCAATGAAAAGAAAGCTTGCAAAATGACCCAATTCGATTGAAAACTTCTCCACATATCCAAAATTTCAGCGTATCTTTGTAGATTCGATCCCAACTCCATTAATTCCTTCTTTACAACGTGAACGAAAGGAATTTGCAACATCTTTTGTAGCTCATCTTGTGAACTCTTTATTTCTTTGAACAAAGGATTCAAATCACCTAACAACAGCGAATCATCTGCTTTTTGTTGTCCATCTCTCAAAGGTAATTGAACTTCTTCCCAATGAGCAGAGATCTTCTTAAACTCTTCAATTAGGGCTGATTCACCTTTAGAAGTAGAAGTAATTTTTTCAATCTTTTCTTTTTCAGACAAAATGTTCAACTGCAGCAAATCAATGATTTTAATTTCAGGAGTGTATTTTCCTGGTTGTCCGCATTCATCAAACAATTCTATCCAATGTTGGCCTTCCATTTTTCCTGTGAATAACATTCTCAATTGAGGAATGAAAGGAACAATCTTATTCAAGTTATTTATGACTTCAATTAATAAAGGATTTTCCTGTGTTGCATTCTTAGAAAGCTCTGTTGCTTCTGTATTTAATTTCTCCAAATCCGTGCAAAATCTTTCGATATCCATAGAAACAAAAGGAGAAGATTGTATCATCAAATTCAATTCTTTCCATGAATCAATGATTTTATACAATTTCGACATGAATTTACCCATATCCAAAACAGTATCATATGATATCAAATTATTAAATTTAATGCCAAGAACTTGTTGACAATGTGCCAATAAAACAACTTCATTATGTAAATTCTCAATTTGTAATACGATTTGAGAACTTTGTTTAACACTTTTCGGAGTATCACATTCATCAATTGTTTGTGGGAATTGTAGTATTTCATCCATATAATCACTGAGTTTATTATTGCATGCCAAAACCCTTGATTGCAAAATCTTCGTGAATTTGTCTTCATGTAATTCTTTCATCATTGCTCCTGCGCCTTGATCTGCTTTGAATCTTCTAAACTCATCGTGTAATGGGTTCTTACTCAAATCAATGTCTCCTGATGGTTGGAAACCAGCAGTTTCGAATAAACTAAACAAATTATCAACAAAAGAAATCTCTTGTGTCAAATAAGGAGACATTTCCGAAACAGATTCATTAAATTTACAAAATTCTACATATTGTTCTAAAGAAGGAGGTTCTTTCTTGATGTGTTTCGAACAATAATGGAAGATGTTCGTTAAATACTCGATCTTTTCTTGCATCATTTTGTCAAGATATGAATGTGCTTGTTTCAAAGATCGTGATGGAATAGGACTCAGTAAATTCCTTAAGTTCTTTGAGTCAACAAATAATGGTCCACGAACAATACATGATGGAAATTGGTTCATCCTTTGTTCATCACGTTTAAATTGCTCGATGTCATGTCTAACTGTTGAAAAATCAACAATTATCTGTTTGGAGGGATCGAAATGAATGGAACCACTGAGATCTTTAAAAGTGAAGTCAACGGATTTTCCCCCTCTTTTATAACCGTAATTTTCTGGTTTCCAAGTTCTTCCCATTTCTGCAATTGAGAAGTAATCCTTGAACAATTGACAATGCTGTTCAGCGTCTTTATAAACATTTGTCAAATAATCAAGGATATCTTGTTTTATCTCTTGAAAACATTTCGTATCTCTAATTACGGTTAGAAAAGTGGGTCCAGAGTTGATAACGTTCTGTAGTTTCTTGTATCTCTCTTGTAGGAAAGGAACTAATGACTCGTAAAGCACTAATCTTGGAAGTTTGTTGACGATATCAATTGAATCATCCAAAGTATCACGAACTGTGGAAATAAGCTCGTCAAGGTTGGGAGAAAACGCTATATCTCCATTGTCTGCGAGTGATACTTCGATTTGGAAGATGGATGCTGCATCTGCTCGAATATTATTTTTGGCATTCTTCCAACAGACCATACAGCTCTTCGCAAGGTATTCTAGGAGTATGTAGTCCGTCTGGAGAATGAAATTGGCCAGGTTTTGGATCTCTTCGTCTACCATTCTCGTCAAATTTATTTTTTCTTGGTTAATTTTGACTTCAAGGATCTTCAACTGCTCGATATTGGGATTCTTACGCTTGATCTCTGGAAATTTCGACTCGTTGACCACTAACCGTTGAGGATCTCGAACGGATTTGTCAACAGCGACAATTTCCTTAGCAATATCGGCTATAAACTGTAGATACTCCTTATGTAAGAGTTTGAAGTTGCTTTCTGTCGTATCAATGAAGCTGTCTAAGTTATATTTCTTTTCTTGGATGAAAGGTAAGAGATATTTATTAATTATTGTGTTACATGTAGTTCTAAGGATTTGTACAGTCGATGCAAAGAACCGTGGATTGTGAAACATCGGGTATTGAGTGATTGAAGTTCGAAGAGTTTCAAATCTCTGTTTCATAACGAAATTACGCCAAATTTTGAATGGTTTCCAGTAGTAATACTTAGAAAACATCTGTAATTTGCGAATGGATAAGAAAATTGAAGATTCTTTTGCCCATAAATCCAATGAAACATGTTCTGTGTCGCCATCTGGCTGAATTCTAGTAACACCGTTAGCGGACATGGTAAAATACTCGGGATCTATTTCAGCATATGGTACTTTAGAGAGAGAATATGGATTAAATTGAGGATCGTCCCTTTTGTATGTGTAATTTAAGTAAATAAAGCGATGGCCAGTTCCATCTTTGCATTTTGAAAAGTATGCAATTGGATCTTCTGGAAAAGCAAGCGATTCTCTCTCTAATTCAATATCATGTTGAACAATTTCAACGGAATTTAATGGTTTTGGCCTCAAAGATGTTAATGGTCGAGGACTTAAAAGAGATTTCATGTTGGCTTGAGCATCTTGATTAACAATTGACTGTGAAAATTTTGATGTTGTTTGTCGTTTTTTGGATTTTGCTGTTTTATTTCTCAAAGCTACTAAACTGAGATTATTTGTAGGTGGTAATTGAAGCTTATCTTCTTCATTTGTGACTATATCGAAAACTTGAGTTTGTTTATCGAGAGCTCTTGAGTTAAATAAAGCTTTGGATGGTGAATATGTTTGATCTTGGTGAAATGGTTTAACTATGGTTTTTTGTTTTGGGAGCTCAATATTAAGTTCGTCTTTTCCTTGAGACATCCCTTTTCCCAGATAACGTTCATCGAGAACGATAGAAGTGGGATTTCAAAAATTATTATAATTTAACTAGCTGATATTATTTCAGAATTTATGATAACCTAAAATATTTGAAAAATGCATGAAATTTCCTAATTCTCATTCATGGTGAGATTATATCTCAATCAAAACTCATTAAATGATGGAAGCGATAGTTCTTCATATAATTCCTCAAGTTATTTTTTTCAAGTTCCCCAATAGATATCATTTTAATAAACATTTCATTAAATAACAACAACCACAGTTATTGAATCTCATAAGTTCTTATATGTCTTGAGGATCGCTCTACAATAATAAAATTTTCCAGATTTCATTCAATGAAACAATTTGCAGAAGCCTTTGTCCAAAATAAGTTTGTGAATAATTCATTGTTCCCATATTCTCGAAAATATAAACTATTTATGTAGATTTTGGTATATCAAAAAGAAAATTTATCTCAAATCTATTATGATATCGAAATTAACAAAAATATACACTTTAAAATGTATCTAACAACCAATGTCAAAAAGATTCGATCTTACTATATCTTAATTCCAAAGTTCTCATTATATTGATGTAAAACATCTATTTTTATTGTGAAAAACAAGATATCTCATTCTACTCAGAAAGTCCATGATTTTTTGCATGGTATTTATCTATCTACACACTTTATCATGATAAAACAAACATATTGAAGCCGTATTTCATCATATATTTCGGAACTTTGGTGTAAAAATTGGATTTTTTGGATGTATTTGATTAATGTTTCAACGATTTCCTTTGTAAGTATCAACGTTAAGTAAAACTTTTTAAACGATGGCATCGTTAATTTTTTGAGACCAAAAATCTGTGACTTCATTTTAGATCAAAAACCTCCAAAGTTTTTAACTTGACTTCAGTTGAATTGAAAAATATTACACTGTCGTCAACAAGCATGAGAAATATTCTGTTAACACTTGGTTATTTTCGATCTTCAATGCAAACTTACTGATAAATATTTATTTTGCAAATAGATAGCTCTCGGCCATGATTATTAATTAAGCTATCTCTTATCAGTTTAGAGCATTGATTATTTTCATAATCCGTGATCAAAATACCAATAAAATTGTGTTGAGGGGAATATGGTTTAACTCAACACTGTTAACAGAAATATTATCTCATATCAAGATGTGTCAATTGTTAATTTTATATATTACTTGGGAAAATAACTTTTTAGAAATTTGTTATGCTTTTATCTTTTCAAAGCGCAACGAAATTAAATTTCATTACTAAAAATCTTTGTTTGATTTCTCTATATCACATTTTTCTTTAATATAATCCAATATTTCATTTATCCTTTATTAGAAACTATAAAGAATCATTATTCCAATAAATATAGAGTGTTACAAAACAGTTTATATTATCAAATGAAAAACAAGATGAAAAAAAAAAATAATATAATTAGAATGGAAGTGATTGATTTTGGACTTCAGGGATATCATGAAGACGTCTCTTTCCTGGGGTAGAATGCATTGGTTTTATTGATAGATTTTTTTGAATTGAGTTTATTTCTTGTCGTAGATAGTCAATTTCTGATTTAATATTTTCAATTGCAATATCATTTGCTATTTGTCTCTGATCTCTTTCTTCCTTAGCCTGTCGAATTTTTGGTTGCAAATTCTTTATCTTTTGTTCAAGTGTTGACCAATCATACACGCTAGGTGGAACAGTAAATATTAGTCCACAATTTTGTAAATGGCATGTTGTATTATCAGCCTTATGTTGTAATGCCTTTTCATAAACTTGATTATAACACGTTTGCTGTTTTCGTATTGTTACAATCATATTTTGAATTAGTTTATTAAGTGCATACACGTCTCCGGATGTATTTCCCACTGTATCGATATTAATCTTTTCTTCCATTATTATTTTTAAACGTTCACTGAATTTACAAAGAAAAAAAAATATATATTATTTGATTCTCATTATTGTTGCACATTAATTATGAAACAGGAATATCGTTCAAATTGAATTCAAATAACAATTAATAAAAAAGAAGTGCATCAACTCTAACCATCATATCTAAGCAAAGTTTGTTTCAACATTTAATATTCATCCATAGAGCACCTTAATAATGCAGTTATACACATATATTGCCTCATAATTTTCTGGATCATTAGATCAAATTTCATATAATACTTCAATATCTACCTGTTTATATATTGAATAATGCATATAAATAGATAGAAAAGGATAAGTATTAACTTTGATTATCGATATTTGATATTTCCTGAAAATAATATCCCTATATTAAGGAATAATAATTCTACAAAGTTTGATTATAATAATATATTTTCTCAAAATAGCACCCTATGTAGATAAATATTGTTTATTATTTAGAATTTGGAATTATAAAAATTTATTTATGCATAAAAACATTTTCAACAAGTTCAAAATACTATATTAGCACTGTTGAGCGTTATATTGTCAAAAACTTAATCAAATGACCAAGATAATTTATGGTAAATATACAATTTGCTCAGTAATTATTTTTTTTTGGAAAAATTCGACTTATATAATCCATGTTGTGAAGGGTGTATGCCAAAATTATAGCCTCAATGCTTTTAACATTATAATGATAGATTTTAGCAATTGTGATGGATCTTATATGGTGTAAAGTGAATATTATTGTAAATTATTTCTGGTTATGAACTGATAAAAGGAAAAAATTATTCATCCACTAAATTGAAATTCAAAAATTCAATTTCAAGGACTATTATTAAAGACTAGTAAACATAGTTTGATTCTGAAATCATTCTTTGCCTATAAAAAGTTCTTTCAAGAAGGTTTCTCTATGAAAGTTCACATTCCCATTCATAATAAAAATATTGCACTTTTCTAATTTGCCGTGTCAAATGTCAGGTGGGAGGCTATCAACTAATTAAAGATTATATAATGTTATTATATAATGAAATAAAAATACGATAGAATGTCAGGCGAAAATGAGGGGAAAAGTGCGAAAAAGTGGCTTTTCAGTTTACAATTTTTAGTTGATACACCTCTAATAAAAATGATTCTCAAAATTTACCATTTTGCGAAACATACTTTGAGCTATTCACACCTACTATATCTAATTTCATAATTTAAGTCATTTCTCTATTTTTAACTCTTATTTTGCTAATTCCAATAATACATTCAAGTTTAGAATGAATTTGAAAATTTTATAAAACAATTCAGAACGAACTTGTGTAGGATTCCGTTAAGGCATGCTTCATACGTTTCCGAATGAAGATTATTATCCAAATAGTCGCAATCATTAGTTTTCTTTTGTAAGAAGTAAGAACAAATTACCTATAATTTATGATTTGAATGTATTACTCCATGCAGTCCAAAAGACAAAACTTTAATATTGATTTTAATCTCAGTATTTATATCCAGCTAGTAAAATGATCAGATTCGGATGTAATGTTCAGCTTGAGACAAATGCAAAGGAGTCACAAGAACAATCAGATGAGTATCATTCTCTAAATTTGTGGATATTGATTGTAATGATTATATAAATTGTGAATATGTATATATCGAAGAGATTATGTTGTTGGTTGCCTAATCAAAATTCAATGTCAGAAATGCCATTTGTCTGACAGGTTGAGTGTCAGATCTGACATGCTTTTATCGATCTGACAGCATTTGAGGAAAATAACTTAATTTTGTGATTATTTATTGGCTTTTTCTGTATCATACGAATGTCTTCTATATTTAACATTTTGGCATATTTTATTTTTGACAGTCAGAAAGTTTAGATTCATAAAATTCTGATATGATAATTTTTAAATAATTTTTTTCATGTTTGCACTTCTTGCTATTCGTAGGACTCCAAGGGTGTCCTCTAACTACATTCCAGTGTTGACGCCATATTTTCCAGGGATGATGAACAGGACCATACAATCTATTAAATGGTATGCTAAACAAAAAAATGAAGAGTCTTCAGATAACAGTAACATTTTTACGCCATACCTTCCAACATTGCGTTTTTCAAATGCTGAAAAATCAACAGATGAAGATAACTTGGGTGGTTTAACCTTTTTTGTACAAAGAAAATTAAGGGAATTAATGGGCAGAAACGCAGAAGATGATGGAACAGATGATGAAAACCCTGCAGCATTTGGATTATATAGAGAGCTTCAGAAATTAATTGGCCTACGCAATGGGGAAGAAAAAGTCGCAAAAAGGAGACCACGTTATCATTATCGTTTCCCAATCAACAGAGATCTCTATCTTCACTGGCTGAAGCATATGAACAGGCAACGTCTTTCGAAGGGCCAAGTTGCTCCGAAGAGATATGCTGCGCCAAGAATCGCACCAAAGAGAGTTCTTGTTCCAAAGAAATAAGATCTCTTGCGGTACAGATTTATTATCCTCATTAAAAAATCTTCTTTGAAGGTTTATTACATTAATATTTTTCATAGTTTGTTTTCTTGTGATCGAATATATTATATGATTGAAATTATATATAAATATCAAGTCACATGAGTGTTTGAAACGAGTTCCAAAGTGAAATGTAGCTAGCCGAGGATCCACTTTCTTTCCCTGACATTTTTGTGAGAACACTGAATTTTCTGGAGACTTTGGGAGTCTCTCCCATGCTATCTGAAGAACCTAAAAAGTAACTATCTATATACAAATGAACTCTCATTGGCTTGTACATATATCGAATATATTTTGATTGAATGAAATGCATGCTCTATCCTTGGAAAGATGAATTTTATATCCCTCAATTTATACAGAAAAGCTTTCTAAACATTGGAATCTTATTAGCTTCGAGAATTTAACTGCAAATAATATCATATGCATGCTTATTAAAGCTCAAACAGATAGTATTCTTGAGTTTTTCATGATTTATTATTGATCATAATAATGGAATTTCAAAATTATATTAAAAATGTAATATTATTACTAGTTACTTATTAAAAAAGATCAAAAACAATTGATGCAATAACCACAAAATAAAAGATTTAAAAAAAAATAAAATTAAAAAAACAAATAATTAAAAAAATATTAAACTAAAGTTACTTCAACAGCTCCTGATTGTGATTTACCTTCATTTGGCTTATCTTTGAAGAGAGTCTTAAATAATGCAATAGATAATGAGACAACAGCCACAACAATGATGGTTGCTATTGCTGCCCAGTATAAGTTCTTTGTTTTAGTTTGAGTTTTTGGCTGGCTGCCGGTTTCTTGGTCATTATCAAGATTCAAAACTGAATAAAAAGAATTATTGTAAAATGTGTCATTGAAAGACGATGACGGTTTTGGCCCAAGATAGTCAAACCCTAAATTCGATCTAATTCTGTTTGCTTCTTTCCAATTAAAAATAATTCCGTAGCCACGATAAGAATTATACCTATATAGAGTTTCCGTTATGATGTAGTCCTCTTTTGTAAGAGCTATTTCACTTCCTTCATCATAAAGGTACAAATTTAGATTAATTTTGTAATTTTCAGTAGTATCGTATGCAGTAAACAACTTAGAGCTCGACAAATAGCAGTATGTGAAGTTGGACCTACTCGTTCCGAATAATGTATACTGTCCAACAGCTAATGTATTAATTCTTAATTCTGTACAGTTTGGAATGAGTCCAATTGTAATCGGAAGTGGTCCTGTGGATGTGATATATGTTATTCTATTGATATCGTTGATAATTTCGTAGTTTTTGCCGGTTTTGTCTGTTGCATATTTTTGATTTCTCAAAAACACTAATCTCATGAAGTTTGAGCTGTTAATACCCAAATAGAATGGAGTCTTAGTAACAGTGATGACTAATTCGCGTGGAGCGACAACTCCAAATCCGTAATTTTCCAAATTCACGCTAATTATGCCGGAAATTTCTGTTTCTGGTAATTTAAAGTTTGGATCGTTATAGAATCCAATAATTCCTTTGAAGTTCTGTTTGATTTCAACTTCAAGGACCAAAATTTGGTATGAATAATCAGGATCTGTAATTTCTCCATCAGGTACATGATTAAGTTGTTGTAAAATGTGTCTATATGTTACGCTATTAGAAAACTCTGCCATTGTTAATGGAAACTCATGAAATTCTGTAAATAAATTTAAAATATTATATTTTTCTGGTTTTGTGTCCGGAATTAGGTAAAATGATGAATTATAGTTTGAAAGAATTGCAAAGTTCTCAGTTGTTGAGACTTCTAAGAAATGTATGATTAAATCTTTCAAAATTACAGGAACTTTAGCAATTACGGTCTTTGGATTAATTAAATAAGGTGAAATGCTTCATCTGTTTCTGTTTTCAATATATCTTTGGTCATAAAGAAAGCAACATGATTTTTTCCTTCATTTAATGGTTGAAACACAAAATTATAGTTTGGAGAATCTAAATATATCTTGGATTCACCTGTAAATCGAATGTAATAGGTTGTGATGTTAGGAAATTCTTGATAAGCTATCCATTCTCCTGTATTGTAATAATCACAAGCAGATCCTAACCAAACCCAACTCCAGATGTTGGAAACATTTACGTTACTGTTTTCTCCAATTTTCATCCTGACAAAAGTCGTTTGGAAATCAGCTATTCCACTAGTTTTATAATTAGTAAGTAATTTGTATGCAAATGATACATTAACGATCGAGCCATTTGTATCTAATCGATAATTATAGAGTCATTCTGAAACAAAGTAAAGAGAAGATTTGATTTCGACATTTGGAACTTGATATTGAGAAGAATTTGAATTAAAGATGATAATTGGATTTGGTGTATCAACATCAAAGAAAATGTACGAGATTTTATTAGTAATATTTGGAGAAATTGCTTTTAAGGTAAAATATTTTTCATTTCGAGGTCTTACATTAATTATGTTAATAGGATTGTTGTTTTCATCGATAAATTCTTTGTTGTTTAAAATTATAATACTATAATTTGAAGGAACGTCAAAATTTTCATCTGGATCGTAATCAATTTGAGGAATTATTAGGCGAATATAAGGATCATCTTTAGTTAAACTTATATTTTCCGAGTTTTGACCATAATTAATTGAAAATCATATTTGTCACCTTTTAATCTGAAAATTTTTTATGAAAAACGGATCCAAATAGAAGTAGTAGACATGGTTACCATATTGCACACGATAAGTTAAGCTCCCATGCAATACTTAAGCGGTAACTTTAATTTATTGACTTTTTCATTCGATTTCAGAATGAATTTAAATAACAAGAACAACATGTGGGATATGTTTTCAGTATTCAACTTTATAAAATCTTGGATTCAATATTTGAGAGTGTTCATTGAAAATCCGACAATAGGAAATATTAGTTATCTCCTGGGAAGATTTCTTCCCAGGATCATGCTATGATGAAGACCATATTCGTAACAGCACTATATTTTCAAGATCAAACGACTTAAAATATTTTGTTTCAAGCTGTTTTTTTCTTGAATTAAGTCCAAACGGTGCAATTCGAATTTCAACAACGAGTGATGATGTTAAAACATATACAGATACAAATAAATTCGAATCATGTTCCTCCGGATCACAATCTGGAGGTTCTCTCTACTTTGGAGAAAAAGGAGAATTTGTTCAAACAAAAAATTCATATATTAACTCAACAAATTCAAACTTTGGGACTTCATTTTCCATATTTGTTTCAGAAATACCAAATTACAAAAATCAAGCTAATGAAACTTTAGTTTACAACTGCGGCAGTTCAGAACAAGACTGCACAGTTACAACTCACATGCTTCATGGCTTTATAATCATGAATGAATGCAATATTACACAAAATAGAGTCACAGGAGATACTGGAGGTTATGTTACAGCAGGAATTACCTCTGATTCATACATAACTTGTGTCAATGTCATTGAAAACAATCAAATAGCCCTTGGATTTAATCATCACTCATCTTCTGAATCATATCAATCATCAATATTTAAAATTACTTCATGTAATTATTTAAGAAATAAAAGTCCAGATGATATTGGTAATCTGATTTTTGGTGGTTCTAATGTTTTCATGAGTTATTGTTGTATTCGTGAGAATGAAATTCCTTACATTTTTTATGCATATTATTGTACAATAATATTTGAAAATTCAACAACAGATAGCACTACATATTTCCCATATGGAGGTAATTCACCAATATTTAAGAACACAGATATTTCATTTGAAAACGAATGTCCTCTTTTGAATATTCCGACAGCAGATTTCGTCGAATCATTAAAATATAAATGTCGTCATCCCACTCCAAATAATGACGAAAACGAAGAAGAAAATGAAAATAATGCTTATGTTCAAAATCATGTTAATTTTTTCTTTTTATTCATGAGTAGTAAACGATTTCGAAGTCAAACATAACTTTTAATTTTTTTCTAAGAGTTTCGTTGAATAGAAATTTCATTTCGATATGATTTCGACATACCGAGGATGTTAGTGATCAATCGACTGTCAATTTGTTTAGGAATGATTCCCGTGTTAAACCATTCACTAAGAAGTTTATTTCGTTCGTTAAGAATTGTTGTCATCTTATGCAGAGAGTCTGTGCCATAATAACCTAGTGTTTCTTTCTATTTATGTGGACACTTACCTTTGCAAATGTTTTGTGCTGTGTCGATGTCAAAGTGAAGAGGATTCCCACGAAGGAACTTATGACAGAAGGCATCTCAAAAATTGAAAGGGTATAGAAAATATATTTAACCTAAAAAATGAAAAATACAATAATACAGGTACCAATTTATAAAATCATTGCATGTCATTTTTTATTGATTTTAATTCCTTTTCCCTTAGATTTTTAATGATCAACACACTAAGGAAAAAATGTGGAATGGCATGTAGTTCATTTCATCTATTTGATGACAATGATAAGATTGTTATTCCTATAGATGCTGATAAGTTTAAATTGACCTTAGCCGGATGGATGCAATATAAAATAAAAAAGACAACATCAAAACCAACTATAAAATACATTCATTTTTATGCATCAAACGAGCCTGATCCTATTACTAAGCAAATTTTAGATGAATTCTCAGAGCAGCATCAATTCAGCATAGAATATGTTCACCACCAAGATATAAATAGTACAAAAGAACTCTATGATATGTATATAGAACAAGCCGATTTAAATAATTTTAATAAAATTGCGATTTCTGATACAATTGAAGCTATTAACTGTTCGATACTCTCAAAAATGTGTGATGCTGGTGTGTTTGATGGTCCTGATCCAAAACAAGAAATTTCAATTAAAAATGAAGAAAAATTATACATAATACGTCCATTTTGCTACTGTCTTGAGAGAGATATTGATAATTACATGAAGAAAAACAATTTGAAATCCCATCTCGGAGGAATTTTTGTTACCCCAACAAAATCTTTTGAAGCAAGTCGTGATGCTTTAGAAACTCTTAATTCAGAGTCAACAAATATTCACATTAACTTCTTTAGTTCCCAATTTCAAGTCGATTCTTTATATATAGGAGATGGCGATGGAAAAGCTCATGAAATAGATGATATTTAGCAATGAAGTAGTAATGATACTCATTGATTACATTTGTATGAAATATTGTCAAATAACTGAGCTCATCATTCTTCAAAATCCGCAAAAAACTTATTAGTAGAGAATGGAATACCTAATAACAAGACGTGTGTTATAAATATATGTATGTTTTATAAATTCGCAAACTTTTTTTTCACAGAAATTTTAAATCATAAAATATCCAAACTTTTTATCACTTTTCAAAAACTACAATTATTTTGTTGCGATAAAATATGTACACTGTGATAGTTGTATTGATTTTAATAATGATAACTTTATTATGCAAAAATTTGAATAATAGTTTCGACTTTCAAGCATAATCAGCACAACACAAGTTCCCCTTTAACTATTTTAACCATATCAAAAGATTTAACATTTGAAACGCTATCCATTGTATGGAAAGAAAGCGTTTACCAACAATTCCATAAAATTTTTGAAAAGTGAAGATATTTTTCGAATGATTACATATGTTAATGAATAAACAATGATGGTGTAACTCTTATGTCAATTTTGTTTGCCATCAAAAAAAATTGACATCAATTTTTAAAATCAAAAAAAATATTAATTTTTCCCTTTCAGTATCATAAAAATAGCGACAAACATAAATTGACTAAAACAAAAGTGACACTTCATATGGTCCACAAAAAAACCGTCGAATTGAATAGAGACACTTTCAATCAAATCCATATCATTTAAAAATTATGGAAGGAGAATCACTCGACTATAGTCTTTTCTCAGTTTCAACACCATCAGACCAGCAAAAAATAGCCATAAGTAAATTAAAAGAAAAAATCTCCAACTCCGTTGATTATCTTTGTGATGCACTTCAACATTACGAATCTCTTGGAGCCTCAGGTAAGGATTTCGTCTACGAGCAAGCTGCTGATTGGATTATCTCATCTGCTTTCAATCAGTTCGAAGTTTTGAAGCAAATAATGCCAACTGTTGAACAAATCTGCAACGCCCAGGAATCATTTTCAGGATCCAGTGTCGCACTTGGATCTCTTCGTGCATCTTATGCAATCCAAAGCCTTTACGAAAACCAGGATGAGCCAATTGTTAATTTTATCAATCTTGAGCAACAGCAGTTCATCAATTTTGCCAAGCCATTCGCCCAAAAATTCTCTAACGTTAACCCATTATATCTTGAACAGCACATGGCTGCTAAAGCTCGTTTCAATCAAAATTACGGCCCAGCTTTCTTAAACAAGCTTTTAGAGAACATTCTCAACAAGCCTGTTTGTGAAGCAATTATCTACTTCTGCAAATGGTTCCCAGCCAACTGGTTCTTCGAACAAAGAGAAGTTATCAACCAACTTTTCGAAAAGCCAGAACTTATGCAGTATCCAGTCCTCATTTTCGCCCAAGTCTTATCCCAGAACAGCGAATTCATCGATCTCGATTTGCTTCAGCAATATGTTTACTATTCCGTCGAAATTACCCAAGAGAACGAAAGTACAATGCTGGGACCAATGTCCGAGCTCTTTGCCTCCCAGGCCCGTCTCTTTGCCACCGCCGCCATTTCCATTCTTTCGAATTCTCAGACAGATTCGATTGAAGTTTTATTCCAGATGGCCCAATATTTCTTCGATCCAGAAAGGTATATCTTGAAGCCAGACGTCGTTTCCCAGGAGATTGTTCGTGTCCTCGCTCGTATTTCAGTTGTTGAGCCAAAGATGGTCGGAAACATCTGCGAATTGATTGTTCAAAGAGTCTCATGCCACCTTAACTACGAACTCAACACAACAACACCAATTCTCGTCAACACTCCCGCTATTATCGAATTACAAACCTTATTCTGTCAATTCAGTCTTCGCTACAAACAAATTGTTGATGAATTCGTCAACAACGCCATCCAAAGCGATCAATCTACCATTCTCCCGATCTTTTGCTTGTTGATGCCGATATCCGAGCGAAGCCACAACGAAATGATGGAATTCCTTTTCAACAACGTTTTCATTCAGTACGTTTCCGAAGTTCCAGCTGAGATCACCAACGCTACATTCCCACCACTTGTATTAGCCTGCAAATACATCTTGAACGCTTCCGATGACAGCCAGATTGAATCGGAAATCAAGCAATATGTTGGCAACGCGTTCCAGATTCTTTTCATTGTTTATTCCAACCCAGAAGTACAATGGGAATTCGGCAAAGATCCAAAACAGAAGAACCTCCATAAAGAAGAGATTGGAAAGTTAATCATTGATTACGATATCCACAGTTTTGCAAATCCAGAAATCATCGATATCAATTTCATTATTGAATGTTGCAAACTTACTAAATCAGAAATCAAAGTTGCAACATCATTGTTATCAACATTAGGTGCAGAAGTGAGTGCACAAGTTGTTTCAACATTAATTGAGCATGCTAAATACGAACAGAATCCAAATGGTGACATTTCTTTGGATAATATCTATATATGGCTTGCAAACACAGCAAGTGTTGATAATCCTGAAATATCAAACATGATCTTTAACTTCCTTTTGAGCACTCAAAGCTATGCAACAAATACTGCTCGTTGGTTGCAAGCTTTCAAGTGCATTTCACTTAAAGTTGTCATCACAAATCTTGAGAATTTGCATGATGCTGCTGGTTCATCAACACTTGCTCATGCAGCACTGTTTGATTTATTACGCACAGCACAGAAAGCATCAGATACAATCAGAACACGTGATCAAGAGACATATGAAGACCAAGAAGTTTATGAGAACGCAAAGAAATTCGCTGATCAAAACTGGTGCTACCAAAACATTCCTATGATCAAGCGCTGGTACATGGAATATGTTCTTAACTCTCTCCATTACCCAACAAGTTCAAAGAACTTCACAGAAGTTGTTAAAGTTCTCATCAACAATGGTCTTGAATTCCTTAAAGAAACAAGGAATTCAATCCAAAACGAAGCAGAAGATGCTCTCGATCAACTGGCATCATTCATCCATGATTCGATTCTTGCAGAACGTATTGATTGTCCAGAGATCTACAAGGTCGCAATCAACTGCATGCAGACACTTTGGGCAGGAACAAACAAGAAGATTGATGCCATCGATCCAGATCGTGCTGTTTATCTTTGCAATGGTACATTCATGTACTTCTATTCTAATGAATTCGATCCAAACTTAGTTGCATGGCGTCGTGTCCTTGAATATTCTATGACAGTACAAATGGATTTCGTCACAGGCATGTACAAGTACTTGGTGAATAATTCAGAAAACAAGGACAGCAACTTCATCATCAAGACACTTTCTGAGTTCTTGGAAGATAAGTTCGTTCAAAATGCAATGGGATACATCGCTGTAAGAGCAGATGCACTTCAGGAAGTTTTGCATCAAAGAAACGCAAAGAATGAGTACTTGAATGAACTCAACCAAGCAGCTAAACCAGCTAACAACAACGCTATTCCTACATTCAAGAGCAACATCACAAAGAACATCATCCCTCTCATTTACCAGATCCGCCAGATGACATTCTTCGATCAGTAAGTTTTATTAATATATATTTATATTCTATTTTATTTTATTATTATTTCTTTTTCTTTTTTAATTTTTTTATATATTTGGTTAAGGGTGCACACGAGAGGATCATGTAAACTTCAGAATTTAGAACCTTATTTTTAGGCATTATCTTGGCTACCTATTTAGGCTCGAAAAGCAAAAAATATCAAAAAATACAACTTGAGTCCATTATGACCCTTTCATGGAGGTAGTTTTTATCCGCTAGTATTTTCCCTTTGAATCTCTTTACAATTCGAAATCAAATTCAAAACTCAGTAGAAGAAAGGAAGAATCGACTTACTACGGTTGTAATACGAATAAATACATATATTTAATTATTTTTATTTACATAATAATTGTTTGAAGCTCATATTCCATCAAATTTTTAAATAAAAACATTAAAATGTTGAAAATGTTCATATATTTTAATAGGGTTTTGGCACTTTATTGAGGAATTACTACATACATAGTCGAACTGAACTTGATATTTTGAAATTTAAATTATTTATCAAAATTAAAATTTAACTTGAAATTTATAATTATTTAGTCATATTTTGCATAATTCTAAGTAGATTTTGTAAAAAATCAAGAAAGAAAAATTTTAACGTGCTTTATTTTTTCTTTTTTATAATAATACATATTATTATATAATTAACATATTCATAATGTTTCACCCTTTCAAAAATATAATCCTCCTCCTCTCAAATAAACGTACATACGGGTGGCCTCTTTTTTCAAAAAATTAAAATTTGAAATTTTGGGCTCAAATATTAGAGATTTTTTCAACCTTCAACGATATATGTTGTCTATATCAGACCTCCTTTCTTTTTGATACTTAACATTGTTCCTAAATCTTAGCCGTTAAGGCTGTTCTGAAAATATTTTTTTTTCGAAAAAATTCGAAAAAAATTCTTAAAATTCAAAAATCCCTTAATTCCTGAGGATTTTGGGAAAAAGTTTTTACATGAACATGTGTATATTATATGAAGTATATTGATAAGGTAAAAATCAAATTTTATTGCATATTCATCGAGAAAATAAACTAACGAATCCCTCAAAATTGAGAGGGTAATCCTCCTCCTCTCAAATAAACGTACATACGGGTGCACCCTTAAATCAATGGATTTTTAATTAAATTTGATATTTCTTTTTTTTAAAGACACTGATTCAGATGATAGTAGATTTGCATAAACAAAATTGGCAATGAAAACAACATTTTAGTTTTGCCTTGATTATTGAAAAGAACTAAAATGAACTTGATATTGTTATTTATTTGAATATTTCCTTACAGACATAGTATCTTTCCTTATTAAACCTTCAAACAACTGAATAGTTAGGGAGGATAAAACAATTAATAGAAATTTAAAAAATCTCAATTCTGTACAGATATGACACGTTAAATCCAAATATCTGATTTTATATAATTTCTGAAAAAGTGACGAAATTGATGATGCTGGAAGAGTTAAATTTATGAGATTATAATGCAACTATATCTACTATAATTGCAATGTATTGATTAAGAAATTTTGATGACTCATAATCAGAAGCGCCCCAATTTTCTGAAGTTTACAATTTTTGTTCAATGAGTCGTCATCATCATAACATGCATAAAACTAATGATAAGTCCTTATTTGACAAGTATTCAATAATTATTTTAAAAATATTGAGATAATGTTTAAACAGAAACACAACTATAATGTATTGAGCAACTCATATAAGTATGTTAGGAACTATCATGCATTAAATATCATATTTCCATCATAAATTATAAATGTAAATTTCATTCTTAAAAACTAAGAGATATTCCTTTTTTACGCATCCTCATTGCGATCTTATCATCAGGTATGAAGAAATTAGGTGAAGAATATCATTGTGATAGTGATATTTATATAAGAGAACTTTCAGATTTTGATATACAACTTAAAAATTCAGTTGCTCAAATAATCATAAATGATGATGAAAAAGAGTTATTGAACATGATGAAACAACCAAATGCTGATCGCAATCGTGCACTTCGTAATTGTATCTTATTTGGAGCGGTTAATTGTTTCAAGTTATTAAGAACTCAATTTCAAGTTCAAATCACAAAAGAATGTCTTGATGATGCATTTTGTAGGAACAATCAATATATAATAGAAGAATGTTTGAAAGAACAAAAACATGATTTAAATACAATGAAGTATGCTGTTATTTCTCATAACATCAAAAATGTTATTAAATTGATGAATGAATACAATTTAACAATTCCAGTAGAAACTTGTATTTTTAATGCTAATTTTCATGCATATCTTATTTATTTAAATCGAACTAATGATTTCAACACATGTTTTGTATATTCTCCATATTTTAATTTTGAATTTCTTTGTGAATATTTACTTTCAAATGGCGCTAACATTAACTCTGTACAAGAAGACGGTTGTTCGGCTCTTCATATTGCAGTTAAGTCAAATCTAACAAATATTGCAAAATTATTGATTTCGAAAGGAATTGATGTTAATATAAAAAGCGAACATTTTGGAACTGCACTTAATTTTGCCATATATTTAAATAATACTGGAATGGTAGAGTTACTTATCTCAAATGGAGCTAAAATCGATATCAAATCTGATTTTTTCAATTTAATATCAATTCATGTTGGATTCATGACTAATAATTACCAAGTTGTACATTTTATTGAAAAAAGTAGTAAGCAAATAACAGGCAAAAGGAATCAAATTGGTCTCACAGCTCTATTTCATACATCATTATTAAATAATAAAGAAATGACTCAACTTCTTATTTCACATGGTGCAAACATTAACATAACAAATAAATATGGAAATAATGCAATTTCTTATGCATTATTACGTGATTACAAAAAATTCATGGAATTATATCTTAATATAATCGTATCATCTTTCGATTTGTCTGAACAATATCAAAATTCTTTAATCATGGAAAGCAAAAGCAATGATATAATTGAACTTTTGATTTCAAATGGTATAAATATTAATGCGAAAAATATTCATGGAAATACACCTCTGCATATAGCAGCATTATTGTCTAACACAGAATATGCAGAAATATTAATTTTACATGGTGCCGAAATCAATTCATTGAATAAATATGGTCAAACTCCTCTTGATATTGCTGTCATACGTTCGAAGTTAGAACATAGAGATTTTATCAAACTCCACGAGGGTGAAAAGAATTTTATTCAAGAAAATGGCAAAGATTTCTTTGAATCTTTAAATGAGGAAAGCGAAATGGAATCTCTCTTAATTGCACATGGTGGAAAAACTGCCAATATGGGTAATCTCCAAAGAAAGGGTAATTTTGATATAATATTTGATTATTTCTTCCAGAATCCTATTTTTGGAAACAAGGGAATCACAATTGATCCAAAATGGATAATTTTCCTGATAATCTTGAAAATAATCAAACGAAAAATAAATAATGGATATGGTAATAGGATTATCCAAATATTACTATGGGTAGTTTATGGAGGCCTTTTTGAGAATCTAATCTCAGTTATTAGGGATATCTGGAATATGATAAACTATTATTTACTCCAATGAGTACATAATAATTACTCATAAAACTCTTGAAAATTAAAAACAGTTTTACTGCCAAATATATGATCACAGATATTGAATGAATATACTTGGATGTAATCTTGACTGTTATTAAGGATAGTCTGTTTACGTCTTTAAATTGATATCGAAAAAATATATTTGCATTAATATCTCATTTCAATGTTGAAATAAATCCTTTGCTTATATGATAAGAATCATTGAGATACTGGTCTTTCAATATTCTTTGGTGTTTGAAAATGATTCGAGTATAAATTTGTACAATATTAAATAATTTTCGCAGCATTTAATCAGAATCACTTAAAATTTTTAATATTGACAGCAACGGTTGAAAATTGCAATAATATTATGGATAATTTTCTATTGATTTCAAATCTCAAATGACAATTTCTTGTATTTCGGCTTATAAAAATGATCCAGCGATCTATTCAATTTGAACTGTGTGATATCTACTAATCTATTATACATATGAGTCTCATTATTACAAACGATACGGTCAATTTGGTCGGAGTGAAGTTAATATCTCTTGGGAATTCGAATTCCCAGGATCTCAATATGATGAAGAACATTTATGCAATGGCACTGAATTTTCGAGATCAAACAACTTAAAATACTACGTTTCAAGTTGTTTTTTTCTTGAATTAAGTCCAAATGGTGCTGTCCGAATTAATTCCACGAGTGATGATGTTAAAACTTATACAGAATCAAATAAATTCGATTCATGTTCCTCCGGATCACAGTCTGGAGGCTCCCTCTACTTTTCGGAAAAAGGCGAATTTATTCAAACAAAAAATTTTTACATAAACTCAACAAATTTGTTTTATTCACCATCATTTTACACATCAGTTTCCGAAAAACCAAATTATAAAAATCACGCAAATGAAACTATAATTTACAATTGCGGCAGTTCAGAACTTGAATGCAGACTTACATCTTTCATGAACTGCGGCTTTATAATCATGAATCAATGCAATATTACGCAAAATAGAGTTAAAGAGTATTATGCAGGATATTTAACAGAAACAATTACCTCTGATTCATTTATAACTTGTGTCAATTCATTGAAAACAATCAAACATACGGCGTTTTTAATTCCCACAAATCTTCTGACTTATATAGATCATCAATTTTTAAATTGACTTCATGTAATTATATAAGAAATAATTGTCCAAACTTTGATGGCCATCTCATTTATTCTAATACTGATATATTCATGAGTTATTGTTGTATTCGTGAGAATGAAATCTCTTTAATATTTTGGGCAGATGAATGTATAATAACATTTCAGAATTCAACAACAGATAGTGATTCGTATGAAATAGTTGGAAATGAACCAATATTTGAGAATACTAATATTTCACTTGAAAATGATTGCCCTCTTTTGACAACTGATAGTGTTGAATCATTAAAACATAAGTGTCGCCGTTCGACTCCAAATAGTGACGAAATCGAAGAAGAAAACAAAGAAAATCATTTTTATATTAAAAATCATATTAGTGTATTCTATTTCCTTATGGCAAATAAACGATTTAAAAATAGAATATAGGGATCAATGTTTATTAACTAGTGAGACAATAGTCGAACACAACATAACCCAGATGAGTTTCAAAGAATTGAGTTATCCATTTTGGAAAAAATAATTCCCATGAGTGTATTAGTACGAAGTTTATGTAATAAAACATAATGATTGAGGTAACATCCATTCAGAAGATTTCAGATCATTAGTGAAAATTAGCATATTCCTGCTTTTTACTCTTAATTATTAAAAGAATTAGTTCACGCAACCGAAAGTGTTTAGAAATTTCGAGAATCTGCAGCTCGTTATCCGGAAAAATTCAAATAAACAATAATCATTCATGAAATGTGACTCAATTTTCACGCTTTTCTTTGAAAAAAAATAATTTTTTAGTTGAATCAATTGCTAAATAAATATTTTGGCTTTATCTCTCATATCAATAAGAATAAAAAAATCCATATCACTCTTAATATATTATGAATGTTCATTATTCAAGTGATTTTTATAAGGATTCAAGAAAATATTGATTTTCATTTAGTTCATATTTCATTCTGATGAGTATATTTCATTCTTAAATTATTTTATATCATATATAGAGATTTCTTTGTATAAGATGACTTTGAAAGTGGTTCATGAAAATTCAAAGTGATTGAAGTAAATTCAATGATCATGAAATTTTATCATAAATACTGTATTTTATGTTATAAGCTTAATTTGATTTCAATTATCATTCTCAAAAAAATTTACGATAAGTAGTATATGAGTGCGGGTTTAGTGACTTTTTTTGTTTCATCTATATATAGACGATGCATTAAAATATATTTATTTATAAATCATTAAAAAAATTAACATTAATTTTAAAATAATTTAATTTTTTATCTTTTATAAAGAAGCTATATATAGATGATGTCAGATATTCCGCGATTAATTAAACATTGTTTAAATCCTGAATGGGTTAAACTTCAATTTAAAAATGAAGATTGTGAATTATTAAATGAATATGAAAGCCAAAATAAGCTAATGAGGTATAAATATAATGATAAAGAATATTTAATTTCATGGAATCAATGGAGTCATAATCAAAGACCTCATAAACGAGAAGAAGAAATTGAAAATAATGAAATGGAAATCATTGATGACATTAAAGAGGATGGAATTCCTAAATTTTGTAGAAAAACCATTAGAACTAAGTTAGGAGCATATAAACGTAGAGTATTAAATCCTGAATATCTTAAACATCAATTTAAAAAGGAAGACTGTGAATTATTAAACGTTAATGAATATGAAAATGCTAAATCAAAACTGAGATATAAATATATTGGAAGTGATGAAAGGTGTAAAGATAAAGATAAAGTTTATTCAGTTTCATATAATAACTGGCACACGTTGGGGATAAGAAAACATTTAGGAGATTATGGTAAAAGTTCCGAATTCTTCAAATCTAGTATGTATGAGAGAGTAAAAGAAATCAGATATAATTATCATTCATGAATGAAAAATAAACTTTAAAAATTCATGTCTTACATTTTTTGAATAATTTATTTTTTTAATTCGTAAGAAAATGAGTGTCAAGACTAACGACGTTAAAAAATTGGGATTCACAAACGAGGAAATAAAGGATATATTAGAGGAGGCGAGTTATGAAGTTAATAAATATTATTTAAGAAATTGTCAAAAATTCGCGGAGTTATTAAATGATTTAGATTATGATGGAAAAATGAATAAAGATGATGTTATAAATTTCTTATATCCCACATCTGAAGAAGAAAAACCTAAAGAACCTGATGTTTTCCCTGAATATTATGAAGAACGGATTAAAGATGATGAATATGATGAAATTGAAAGACTGGAAAAAATAAGAGATGAAATAGATGAAAAAATTAAGGAATTAAGAGAAGTTGAAAAATATAATGAGAATGAAGTAGAGGGTTTAATGAATATCCCAGCTTCAGAATCAGCACTTCAGAAATCTCATGAAGAAAGATATAAAAATTATGTCTCAGAATCAACACAAAATTTATTAGATGGTGAAATAGACGAAACACTTTCAGAAGAAGGCACAAAATTTATTCATAAACATAAGTTACAATTTATTGACGATGGAGAATACCCATGTATATTACTTTCACCTCCTCTTGATTCTGAAAAATTCAAAAAAGCACTGAAAAATGTAACATATGCAACAAATACGATTAAGAAAGAAGACCATGATATTTACACAAATTATTATTTAAATAAATGTACAGGTGTTGATAAAGTTTTTGATTTGTTAGATAAAATATCAAAAGAAACAATTGGTACATATAAAATTTTATGTGATTGTGGTTTCATTATTGAAGATACTAATAATGTTTCATATGAAAGAACAGCACCGAAGGAAGACGAAGTTGAAAGGTCTATACCATTCGTTATTAAGAATATAAAAGATATGAAAACTTATAAACATTATATTTATTCATTTATTTCAGAAAAAATGGAAGCAACCCATAAAACATCATCTCATCATTTTATAGCTATTCATACATTCCTTTTCAAAGTTGTGAAATTAAATAAGACAGGAATTAGATTTAATGTATCAGGGTACGCATTCTTGAGTAAATTAAAATGTATTCGTCACGTCGCAGATGATAAAAATTTATGTGTTCTTAATTCATTTTATGGACTTTAGCCCTGGACTTTAAAAAAATAAACTTTATTTTTATTTATTTTTTAATTTTTTATTCTTACATAAATGAACAAAAACGGAACAGCTAAAATGAATGATAATCAAATAAGAGAAGGTAGAAGGTTATTTAAACGCTTCTATAACATTCCTGATGGTGTTAATCCTAAAACTCGTAGAAGTTATTTAAATGAAGCCATAGATGCATATGAAGGATTTGACATTTCATCAGAAAGTGAGAGGTTAGCAAGAATGTTAAACGTTAATATTGATTTTTATTATTGTGACCCTCAACCAGAAGACGTAGACATAAATAAGGTAGACTTTCCATTAGTGGAATCAATAATGATAGATCCAGAATTTGAAACAGTAAATATTTTATTAACACAGAGTCCATGTGGAAAACTTCACGCTGACAGAATTACAGACGTTGAAGCACTCACAGGATATAAAGTTTGCCCCTTTTGCAAAGAAGAAGTATATTCTATCCGTGATGACCCAGAAAGGAAAAACCAAAGAAGATTTTTAAAACATTGTGAGAAATGTAAAGAAAATAATGGAAGATTAATTCAAGACGTTCAATTGCAAAACACACAACAACCATATGCACCACATATCACGAAACAGAAGATATATCAATGGCTATTAGCTCACAATTTGCAGGAATATTATAAACCAACAAGATATTATATTACTTTTGACTTCGAAACATTAGAGACTAAAGAAGAACTTCAACTTTCTGAATGTGCAACTTTGAACGCTTACTTAAAACCATTTATGGTATCATCAACTGTCAAAATAAAGCCG